TGCACATGCACCCTATGTAAGTTTCAAGCCACCAGTTCCAGGTCACGAGAAGCACTCTGCCATGTGGGAGTTCAGTCATCTGCTGGTTCCATATAAGAAGCTATTTTAATAAGCTGATAACCTTAAGCACATATAGAAACTTTATACATTTACTCTCCCCCTTACATTTTAATGACTTTTGATGTCAAAATTTACATCTTTCTGTAATTTTTATTCCTTAAGAATTGTAGCTATAATTGTTTCTAATAGTTTTGTCTTTTAACCCTAAATTAGAGATGAAATTGCTTTATACATTATTATTACAGTATTAGAGTATTCTAAATTTGACTATATATTTCTTCTACTGTTGAGTTGTGTCTTTTCATATTTTTTATGCCATTAATTAATGGTCTTTCACTTCGATTTACAGAGCACTTTAGCAAATTCCGTAAGACAGTTCTATGTGGTAATGGACTCACTTAGTTAGAGTCTGAAAAACAGGTTTCCCCCCCCTCATTTCTGTAGGTCAGCTTTGCTAGTTTAAGTATTCTTGGTTGGTAGTTTTTTATTTATTTTTTTCCTAGAAGCACTTTGAGAATATATCATTCTGTTCCTTCTGGCCTATAGAGTTTTTGCTGAGAAGTCCATTGTTAGCTGTATTGAGGTGCTCTTGTATGTGATATGTTTCTTATCTTTTGCTTTCTGAACTCTTTGTCTTTGATTTTTGATAATTTCACTATGGTGTGTCTTGGCAAACTTCTCTTTTGGTTGAATTGGATTGAAGACCTGAATTCCCGTATCTGGATGTTGGCATCTTTACACAATTACTCCCCTCCACATACTTTTTATGATTTTTGATGGCAAAATTGACATCTTTGCAATTTATATTCCTTAACAATTGTAGCTATAGTTGTCTTAGGAATTTGATTTTTCAGCCATTATTTCCCTTTATATGATTTCTGGCCCTTTTTCTCTCCTCCTTCTGAAACTCCAATTATGCCAATTTAGTTCTCTTAATAATGTCCCATAATTCTTACAGGCTTCTTTCTTTTTAAACTGATTTTCATTTTTGTTCCTCTGCCTGGATAATTTTAGATGTTTTGTCTTCCAGCTCACCAATCCTCTCACTTGATGAAGTCTACTGTTGAAGCTTTCTATTTCATTTTTCAGTTTATTGTATTTCTCTAGCATTTCTCTTTTCTTTATTTTTTCCAGTTTCTCTGTTAAACTTACAACTTTTTCCTGAATTGTTTTCTAAATTTTATTTAATTTCATATTTCTTTTGAGTCTATTATTGGAACTTTATTAGCTTCTTTTGGTGGAATCCTGATTCTTCATAATCTTTGTGTCCATGTATTGGTGTCTGTGCAAATCACCTCTTCTGATTTTTTTTTTTCTTAGAGATTTTTGCTATAGGGTACATGTACACTCACCAGAGAGACATAAAGTGAGAAATCACCCCTGAGGGGGAATGACCATGCCACAGTCCCTTCTCCATTCTTTTCTTGAGACCTTGGCATGCGTGCACATATACCCAGTGTGAGTTTCAAGCCACTGGGTCCAGGACTTGAACCGTAGTTGACCACGTGGTTGTCCAGTGCCTTAACCACTACACCACCTGCTGACCTCCTCTAAATAGCGATAGATCATCACTATTTAATCTAGCCTGAGATTTTAGATAGATCAGCTGGTAGTCACCACAGACAGGCAGACCTTGCAGTTCATTTCTCCATTGTTAATAGACTGAACCACTGCCTGTGCTTTAGATGAGACTACTGGCTAGGCTACAAGGCCAGGAGGAGATGCAGACTGGTCTCTGCAATCACTTTCTATTGGGTAGGGTTGCAAGCTATATTCCCTGGCTGGGTGGTACTGTTGTTTGAAATCAGTAGTTGAGCCACAGGCTGGGCACCAAGGCTGGGGAAGGTTGCTAGGTCTTTGTTCAGCTTGTTGGGATGGGCAGAACCAGAGGCTCTACCCCACAGATATGTGAGGCAGAGGCTTACTTCCCTATGGGCCTAGCAGAACCTTAGACTGTACTCCAAAGCTGGGCAGGGCGATTGCATGAGTGCTAGGATTGGGCAGGGCCGGATCCTCTACTCCAGAGATGTGTAGGAGATGCAGGTTTACCTCCCAGTCTAGAGAAGCCTTATACAGAGCTCTGAGGAATAGGCTTTTAATGCCTAGGGACTGGCAGGCTAGGTGCCCTGTTCTGCAGATATGCTGGGACATGGTTGCCTTCCAACCAGGGAAAGCCTTATGTAGAGCACTGAGGCATGCGCATGTATCTTGTGTGTTTTCCAATTTGCCAGGTCCAGGATTCAAACCGTGCCATGTGGAATCCATCTGCATTAACCTTGGTGTCACCTGTCTTAGACTCTTTTCCAAGTTCTGGGATATTCTTGGGTGAATATAGTTGCTAGCTGAATTTCTGTAATGGGAGCTGGAGCCAGGAAACTCCTAATCCACCAACTTGCTGATGTTTCTATTACTTCTTGAAAGAGGTACGAGGGGCCGGCAGGTGGCATGGTGCTTACAGGTGCTCGACTCCCACATGGCCAGCTGCGGTTCAAGTCCCGGACCTGGCGGCTTGCTTTCTCACTTTCTCTCTCTCTCACTCTGCCCCTCTCTGGTCAAATTTAAATAAAGGAATAAAGGGAAGGGAGGGAGGGAGGGAGGAAGGAAGGAAGGAAGGAAGATAAGTAGGAAGTTAGGTAGGTATGAGGAGTGGCAGGAAACATTGCCATTTGAAGACCAATTAGAAATCAATATATGGCATGTTTAAGATGGCAGTGTAAGCCAGGTTGGAAAAAATCTTTTCCTTTTGTGGTAAAAAAATAATTTATTATATATTCAGTGAGATAATCACTGCTGTTTAGTTTAGAGATTTCCTTTCAGTATTCCATGTTTATATATATGATTACTTACTTAAAAAAATAAAGAAGTACTGTATTCATATATTTTATGGCCTGCTCTTTTAAAATTAACCTTATGTGGGGCTGGCAGCTGGCGTAGTGGTTGGGGTGCTGGACTCCCACAGGTCAAGTCCCGGACCTGGCAGCTTACTTTCTCTCTCTTTCTGTCTCTCTCTCTCTCCAACCAAATTAAAAAATAATAATAAATGAATATATAAATAAATAAATGAAATGAAATAGTTATTTTGTTTTTAAAAATTCAAAAAAATTAAATTAACCTTATGTAATTAGAAATTTTTTATCAACAAGTATTCTTTATGACATGACTATAATTGTTACAATGGAATTTACACCATAATTTACTTAAATCAATCCAATATTTTTAAGGATAAGGGTATGTCCCATCTGTTGGGTCATCAGAAAAGTCATGATGGATTTTTGCATAGAAAATTATAGAAAAATACATCATGACTTTTCCTATGACCCAATATTTTCTTATGTAAATTATATCTTTGTAAGTATATTTTTGGATATAGCCTTTTTGGGTAGATCAGTAGTATACATCTCTAAAGTTACAATTGGTGAGTTAAAGAATATGGTGGGGATGGGGGGCATGTGATAACGCAGCTGGATCCACATGGTTGAAAGGTCCTGAGTTCATGTCTCAGGACCTCCCTGTGCAGTGTGTGCTCATGTGTCTGTGATCCAGGCTGCCTGAGACTGGAGACAGCTGCAATGTGAAGACCCTCTTGGGGGTGCTCTAGCGCTCTTCCACTCACTCTC